ACCCTCAATTCGAACCTGTCAGTGAGGTGAATTGATCCCTGATTCAAACATTTCAGTGAGGTTAATTGATCCCCGATTTGAACATGTCAGTGAGGTGAATTGATCCCTGATTCAAACATTTCAGTGAGGTGAATTGATCCCTGATTCGAACATGTCAGTGAGGTGAATTGATCCCTGATTCAAACATTTCAGTGAGGTGAATTGATCCCTGATTCGAACCTGTCAGTGAGGTTAATTGATCCCCGATTTGAACCTGTCAGTGAGGTAAATTGATCCCCGATTTGAACATGTCAGTGAGGTGAATTGATCCCTGATTCGAACATGTCAGTGAGGTGAATTGATCCCTGATTCGAACATGTCAGTGAGGTGAATTGATCCCTGATTCAAACATTTCAGTGAGGTGAATTGATCCCTGATTCGAACCTGTCAGTGAGGTTAATTGATCCCCGATTTGAACATGTCAGTGAGGTGAATTGACCCCCGATTTGAACATGTCAGTGAGGTGAATTGATCCCTGATTCAAACATTTCAGTGAGGTGAATTGATCCCTGATTCGAACATGTCAGTGAGGTGAATTGATCCCTGATTCGAACATGTCAGTGAGGTGAATTGATCCCTGATTCGAACATGTCAGTGAGGTGAATTGATCCCTGATTCAAACATTTCAGTGAGGTGAATTGATCCCTGATTCGAACCTGTCAGTGAGGTTAATTGATCCCCGATTTGAACATGTCAGTGAGGTGAATTGCCCCCCGATTCCATGTCCTTGGTGTATGAATTACACCTTAATTGAATATATCATTGATGTGAATTGATTTTGTTTTGAATGTATTATTGTTGTGATTTGATCCTGATTTGAATATATCATTGAAGTGAGTTGGCTCTGATTTGAATGACAGATAATAATTTGTCTCAGTTTGTACTAATTAAATTGTTGAATTGATGTGAACTTTCGTTATTCAATTGAAAGCTGCCATTTTTTTTTTCTTTGTGAAAAGCAATGAATCTGATTTCTGAATATAACTTGTCAAGAAACACTTCAGTATTATGTGTCAGTAATATAATATTTGCAGTGAATTTCTTTTTGTCAAAGTCAGCAATAATGTAGCAGTTGTATGTTGAAGTTTCCTGGCTGTGTTGAGTAGGTGGTAACTAAACTTGCAACTTGTGACCTTTAACGATATTCCAACATGCAATGTAACAGTACTCTAATTTGATTGGTTCCTCTTCAACAGAGTGCACCAATGTCTTGAATTGCCCAATTTCCCCGGAAGTTGATGATACAGCGTTTTGCATGTGCACACGTACTGGATATGGGGTGCAATGTAAAATTGCCGATATGATATTGATGCACCAATCAATGTGACAAATTTTACCAAATTTCAGCAGACTGACATATTTGTATTTGATGCCATGACAAAGGTTTGGGTCTTCCTTGCACCCAGTCTCTCTCCTAGGAGATGACTGGTCTATGTAATAGGGACCCACCTTCTAGCATTAGAAGCCATGGTGCCAAATTGATTAACTGTTCATTGACATCACATGACCTGAAATCTTTGATGCAATTGGCTCAGCTCATGCATGTTAGACCTGGATTCAACTGTCGTTGATATGTATAAATATTTATAAGACTAAAGACATTTAGGTTGTCGTAGTAACAGTTTACAAATTTCAGTTTTTTCATCTTTTTATTGCAAATTATATGTACTTAAACATATGCTATTTATGGAAATACTACAGTTATGTAATTAGTCAATGGATAGCATGTATTAGGGCAAACAAGTGATATTTTCCATTCTTGGTGCAATATTTAATATTTGTAGAGTTGATCAAGTGAACAATCATTCTGATCATTCTATTTATAGATGTACTTGTCACATGTACTTCTGAACAGCAAGCACACTATTCATGTACTAAGGCCACTCGCATTTCTGAAGGGATTCATTGCAAACAGAATTGTTCCATCCAGTGTTGAGTTGTGTTTCCCCATGCTATTGCAAGTGATTTGATGTGCAGACTGAAAGACCTGGTACCTTTATAACTGTCTATCAAATTTAAAACTTTGCACTTGACTGAGTTTTTAATTTGATTGTGTCAAAGTGTTGTGATGATTGTATAGAGATGGCCAGTTATTTATGTGTATATTGATGGTTATAAATAAAAATGTAGTTACACAGTTAACAGTCTTGTAGCACTTTCTGTTTACAAGTGTTCGTCCAATCTCAGACAAACACAATAACTTTGCAATAAAAATCCAATTTTTCTCAGAGTGGAAAATCTTCAAAGTTCAAATCATTGGAATATATTATTTAAAATACACAAAAGTTTTTTCAGTTGGTTTGGTTATTGTTTGATTTCAAATGAAGGTAATGGGGATATTCGAAGGGTCGCACTTTCAGGTGGAGTCGCCATATTCATATTATAATTACAAAGGCATAACTTTGGATAACAATTTTCACAACCCAAAATCATGTCAGACAACTTCCATAAAGACTTTTGTGTTAATAATTTTACGTAGACATAACATGAAAATATAGAAGATTTCAAGAAATAGTTTTATGTTAATCTAACAATTTTTCAAGTGCTATGATTCAAGAGGTTCATTTTATATTTAGATTGTACAACATTGTCATCGAGAAAAACAAACTGAGAACATATCAGCTAATCAAATCAGATTTAAACCTTGAGCCATATTTAGTCAAGATAAACAACTTTGAACAGCGTAGTGTGCTTACCAAATTTCGTCTTAGTAACCATAGTCTCGAAATTGAAATGGGTCGTCCTAAAAAAAATCTCCCTAAACAATGACATGTGTAACAAAGGTCTAATTGAGGATGGAATGCAACAAATACATTGTGTATAATGATCCCAGCATTTGAAAACAATCCTACAGAAAAAAAAATCATGGAATTGTTACAGAATAAAAATATACCAGTAGCACAGTTTGTAAAAAAGCTTTGAAGTCAGGAAGCAGGATCTTACTTGACATTTTAATGTCTGCTTTTTTTTCTGTTATGATAAATTTCCCCTTTTTGACTCCTGTGTGCGAAGCACAAAAAGGGAGTCTTTGCAGTTAGTGTGTCTGTGTGTGTGTGTGTGTATGACTGGTCCCCTGATATCTCAAGTACCATATATCAATTTTTGATGAAACTTGGTGCATATATGCTCTGGGCCAATGTGCAGATTTGATTAGGTTTTGGTAAAAATCCATGCATATTAATTACCTAATTTGCATGAGAATTAGCTGATTTTTAGCTGTTTCATGATTGTTCCACTGATATCTAAAGAACCACTCATTGGATTTTAATGAAACTTGGCACATAGATGCTCTGAATTAATGCGCAGATTTGATTAGTTTTGGATAAAAATCTGTGCAATATTAATTACCTAATTTGCATAATAATCAATTTTTGGTTTTCCACTGATATCTCAAGTACTAATCATCACATTTCAATAAAACTTGGTAGGCTGCACAGACCTGATAGTTTTTAGTGTAATATCAGTACATATTAATTACCTAATTTGCATAATTAATTAATTTTCAGCTTTTGATATTTCAAGTAGTAATCATTACATTTCAATGAAACTTGGTACATAGTTACTTAAAGATTGTGCAGAGACCTGATTAGTTTTTGGGTAAATATTTGTGCATATTGATCACCATATTAGCATAATTAGTTAATTTTCAGCTTTTTGCCTGATAACTCAAGTACTGATCATCATATTTCAATGAGACTTGCTACATAGATCCTCTAGGACTATGCAGAGACTGGTTAGTTTTAGGGTAAATAATTGTGGATATTAATTACCTAATTCGCATAGTTAGTTAATTTTTTCCATGAATGTTCCACTGATATATAAAGAACCACTAATTGGATTTTATTGAAACTTTCATAGAGTATTCATCACATTTCAATGAACCTAGGACTATGCAGAGACCCAATTAGTTTTTGGTAAATATTTATGCTTATTAATCACCTAATTAAAATAATTAACACTGATATCTCAATTACTGATCATCACATTTGAATAAAATTTGGTACATAAATGCTCTAGAACAATAGACAGGCCCAATTAATTTTGGGTTGAAATTTGTTCATATTAATTCTCTAATAATAATTCGTAGTTTTTTTGTTCTAATCACATTTCAATGAAACTTGGTACATAGATATTACATTACGCAGGCCTTATTAATTTTACACTCAAATCTGTTCATATCAGTTACCTGATTTACATAATTAGTTTTCAGCTATTCCATCAATATCTCAAGTACAAGTAATTTTGAATTAATTTTTAATGTGTCTTCAATACTCTCAGCACACGGGAGTTCTTTCTAAGCTTTCGTTAATTCATTATTTTAGTAATCTTATATTATTTAGTATTTCTGCGATTTTGTATTATTCAGTAATTTAGTGATTGTATTTTGTTATTTAGCATATTTTCTATTTTTTGTTTGTACCTTGTGACACCCCCCCCCCTCCAGAGGGGTTGTGTAAAACCATGTAGGTAAAACTCAATAAATTGACAATGTACAGTGATGTTTATCAAGTAAATATTATTTATGAAGGTCATTGATAAGTGGAACATTCCATTTTCTAAATGGGTGGCGAAGACAATTAGCAGATAATTATTTACCCAATAATAATAATAATAATAACTTATTGCACTTAGAATTCCTTAGAAATACAATGTTTCTATCAGTTAAAGGGCAATTAAAATTAGTTGTGGTAACTACTACTATAAAGTAAAAAAGAAAGGCGAGTTGGTGATGTAGTGTACCAATAAATAACTGTGCAAGTATGATTGACGATGTTGCTGTATTTTTGAAATGTGTTTAAAATACTTTTGACAGTTTGTCATTGATTCCTGAAGAATTTTGTTTCTGGTTAGTCATTGTGCAGATGACTCCCTCAAATTTACCCCTCCGCAGTTTCTAATCGTTCATCCCTGACATCGCTTTGCGACAGTCTCTGTTGAGGAGTCACCCATTTGCGGCAAACATGGCAGACGAACTCGATAGGCTTGCGGAAGAGCTGGTGAGTTTCTTTTTAATTCGCTGCTTACTAATAACTTAAGCCTCTTTCTATTATGTCGATCGACACAAACCAAAATTGTTTTTTTAAAAGCCCTTTATCTTTCAAAATCGAGATTTTCAGCACACAGTGTTGTCATGTCTGTGACATACTAGTATTGTGTACTTCACGTTTGGTATGACAAGAATGTACACATGGCGTTGGACTGCCCACACCACAGTGGTCTGACGATCTAAGTATGGCTGCTAGATCCTATCATACTTATGCTCCAGTCAATGTCAACCCCCACTCTCCCCACCTCGGGGTTTAGT